GTCAATGATGGGACTTCTGTTGAATAACTAATAAAGCGAAAGATTTTAAAGTTATCAATAAAGAAATAAAAGGCCTACAGTGTCGTGTTCTGTCGGATATAATCTTTTGGCAAATAAGACCCGGGCCAATACTACAATTAATTGTCTATAGGTTCTAATTGTGACCAAACTTCATTGTTTAAGCTACGACCATTAGCAAATTATTCTGACAGAAAAATGCAGTAAAGATTTAGAGTTTTTTGTATTAGAAAAGTAGAAAATTTAAACAATTTTCAACCTGTGAAAAATGTTATCTACATTGCACTCATATGATCGTACAATTTCAAACATTAAAATGATCAGCAAACCATAGTCGAAATGTTTTAGAGGTTTTATTTTTAGGTCCAAATAAATTAGTTTGTTCAAATGGAATATCCTTTAACTAAGCCATGCTGAAATAAAACCTATTGTGTGAATTCCACAACATCATACACAACATATATATAACTAGATTTTAAAAGGAGTTTTACCTAAATAGAACACCACATTTCCACATAATTTCATCGCTAAAATGTTATGTTAATATGTTGTGCCAATTTTATAGTTTTTAGGTTTTATAATTTGATATTTTTAATAACTATTCCTATTTCTTTGTTATTCATCTCTTTTATACCTTTACCTAAAATTATGTTAAAAGAGACACAAACTTCAATTCAAAGTTTCCGTAAGTCAACTTTTCACTTTGTTTCTCCGTCAAATTAGCAGAACCTCCAATCGTTCAGATATTTTATTCCAACCAAAAGCTATTGTCTTGACGTGTTAAAACGTAAGTTTTAATAATCGAAGTTACCCAAATAACGACCAAACTTTTGGCTTTACATAAACCCCTTATTGAAAAGAGTACTAACTTTTTATATCACCTCCATATTTTGTTGTTACTTAAAATATTTTCTATAGATTGGATTTATAAATTTCAACTACATTGCTTTTAGAAAAACTAAAATTAAACTACTAAATTATATGTATACAGCATAATAATTTGAACTCGGGTATAATAATCAACATTACAGATTTTAACAGATTATTTCATATGGTAATTGGTCGTAATTCATTTGGAAAAATACATTTCAGGAAGAGAGTTTTCCATTATGTGTAAAACAGCTAGTTAATTATAAAGTTAACTTATTAGCATAATTTTACCTCATAGGCTATTACTATCGTTCCATTTCTACATGATTCTCATTTAAATAGTTATTTGTGTAACTAGTGGGTGAATGCACACGAGATAAATGTTAACTCACGAGTCGTAGGCGAGTGTGGAAAGTTTATCGAGTGCAGCAAAGGAAGTTTACATTCGCGATACACGTTACATTTTTTTCTAGAGTTACTATAAAGCATATAAATAATTAATCTTTTAATACTCTACACCACTTAGGTTAAAAAAAACCAAATGGGACACGCTGCATCAGCTGATCGTAGTCGTAATATCTTTTAGTGTTGCCTACTTATTTTCAAGCGGACACGTATTACGTGCCTAATAAAAGCACGCTATTTTGTGTTGTTTGGTTGGAATACTGGTGTGTGAAAAAGTAAAACTGTGCGGCAAAGTAAACGTAGCAATTACCATCTGTCTGTACTATGATCGGTAGGAAGCCCACTTTGTCGGGTGACTGTAGGGGGAAAATATTTGTTTCTCTTAAGACAATGAGATTTATCATACGTCACCTAACTTTTTTCAGCCAGAGTCCACTTAGTTTTTACAAGTTTCACATTCAAATTGGAAACTGCAGCTTTGTGATTTGTATTTCCCATTATTTTAAGACAAATTTGGTTTTAAACTTATGTTTAGCATTATCAAAAAGGTTAGTAGTTGACTCATCAGTCGTAAAAACAATGTTAAAAGCAACGATTTCTAGAAATTGCGTATCTGATCCGTGATGCCTCAAAATTCAGTAGGGTTTCTTCATGTACTGTAGCGACTCACCCCTTACTTTGCTGTCTACTATGTGTTGCACACATGTAACATGTGGACACTCTAGTTCAAGGTTAAGCAGGCCACGAGTATATTAAAATCACTTAAAACGTGTGTAATATGTAAAAAAATTTCTAAAAAAGGATGTGTAATACTGATACGTGAGAAAATAAAAAAATAAAACAATATAATAGGAAATAATAGATATAGCTTCAAATAACAAAAAGTAAAACCACATTGGTAATGATATTTTTTGTCAAACTGCAGCAAAACTTTTGTTTCTGTTACATGCGTGTGTAGCTGTAAGTAGCTCTTTTCTCTTCTCAGTAAAAATCAACAACTGCTCATTTTGTTTACTTGTAAACTTAGGTAAGCTTGTAGCAAAAAGATATATAATTGTTTTTAAATGTATTCGATGTATCCAATTCTCGTTTACAGTGTTCTAATTTGTTCACTTCCATTCGAGTCTCAGAAGATCGAGAACACGAGAACCAAGTTTGTTTCACTTACGAGCCCATCAACTCCAAGAGAATTACTACCAACAGTGTCAATAAATGTTTAGGTACAAAGTCTAATTCGTTATTTGTGGTTAGGCTATTTGTATTTTACCAATTATTTACTCACAGTTCGGTGATGATAGTGAATAACAAAATTTCAATTGTGTGTCATCAATGTTCAACTTCACAGGAAATAGAGTAACAAATAGGAAAAATTAATAACACGAAACTTACTGTTCCCCGGAACAATAACGAAATATTTAATTTCGTTCCAAGGACGTATTATTAAGTATTATTCAAGAAAATTGTGCTGATTGTCTGTAGGTAGAGTAGCAAAGCTATTTTTTTAGTTTACTAGTTGTAGTGCAATGACGTTTAATAGTAGGCCTTGTGTTTGTTTTATTAAACTCATTCCAGAATACTTAAAACCCATTCTTTGGTAAGCGTTTGAGATATTAAGACCACCATGTTGCTGTGACTAGGAATGATATTTGGATAACCTAACAGCCTACTAACCTATAATTAAACCTACAACCCATGCCTACTTATTAAACCTACGCGTACTGCGATTAAAGTACGTTTTAAAAACTAATGACAAACATAGGTATAGCTTTGATTTATAATTGATCTGTTAGTCCGATATCTGAAAATAAATATTTTATTCATGTAATAATTTGTTTAAGTATCTGCTTTTCAATCTGTGATTAAAAACAAAATTATACACCAGTTAATATAGAGCTTGACTTATTGATTGCTATCAATCATACATTGCACACTGACATAATTTTTTTTTGTCCTAGGACGCTAGGCATGAGCCAGGGATTGTTTTCACATTACTTCAGGCTAGACCTAGGGGTTGTGGCATTTTCACTTAGATAAAGTCCATTGGTGATTTGGCGGGATTTGAACCCGGGACCATATGCACTGACAATACCCACTACACCAGCTCGCTCCCCGCACACTGACATGATAGGAATTAGGAATAGATGAAATTATTAAATGCTTTGCTAATAAGTTACCGTTTTACAATAGCAACATAAAAAAGATAAGTCGTTTTGGGAGCTTGGTATTACATGCAAATTATTTCTTGTTGAAGCTTGGACTGCTTTCGCAATAATGCACTATTTCGGGAAATATAGTTCATCATTTAGGGAAAGTGAATTTTTAATCCTCACTCTTATAGGTAGAGATCAGTGAAAAAAACTATGCAACTAAAACAATGTGCTATAAACATGTTCGATTATATGTTTTTACCAAGGGGGTTGTAGAAAAGACTTTGGAATAACGATTTCAAAAGTGAATATGTATGTGAATTTAAAAACCACGTCATACGGTTATTAATAAATGTGCCTTTATATCATAAACTTGACTGTGGCTCAAAATGCTATTTAGATCAATCTATTTTCATCGTACAGTCCAGTATAACAAGTATCTGGTGATTTCAACTTTCGTGTTTATGTCTGTTGTGAAAGATATATGAAATTTTTTTCGTGGATACCATACCATAAACTTCCTACTTTTCTATTAATAAATAGTTAAACTATATAATACATTAATATATAAGGAATTTTAATTTGTTCTAAACCACCGTTAAACATGTTTTTTTTCGGATTATACTAGTATAACAATGCAATAGAATTAATCAGTAAACTTGACTCATTGGGCAATATTTAAGAGCCACTAGTAGCATCTGTATGTTTGTCATCAATTGGCGATAAATGGGTTACACTAAAATGTTTACTACGTTCAGCTATAATGAAGGTCAGAGTTCAACCATGTAGTTTTGCATAGCAGTAAAATTGAAAAAAATAATGAATAAATTACATTTATCGTTAAAATTTAAAACTATACCTAATATAGTTTTAATAATAACAAATTTTACTGGCAATAAATATTATCCGCCACAATTACTATGCGGACTGTTAAATGTATGGTTAAAAGACCTATTTAATGCCTTACGCCCCTGTAACACTATCTCCATATAAAAATACAAATTAATTGTATTGAAAACATTCTCTTTATCGTAGTCGATTTTATGGGAAATCAGCTGGTTTACAACACCATTTCAGCTATCACCATAACTATGGGACATTCTTATGTACTCAAGATATTGTCTAGCTTAAACATATTCCTAAGTCTATTTCCTTTGATTTAAATCAAAAGAATACATTTTCCAAAGTACAATCACAGGTTGGAATGATGATATGGATTTTATCAATGTCAACACAAATAATTAAATTGAAATGAACAACATTATGCTAACTAATGTATATCCCTTAACACCTTAAGCAAATTCTTCTCACAGTGAGTAATAATTAAATTGTCATCATTTTGGAACCTATTTATTATATTAATTTAAATCTTCTTGATATCAATTAAGTTAAATTCATACATAAATTACTTTAAAAATTATTAACCTTAGGCCCTATTTACCGGACACAATCATACTAACTATATTTATTTCTCTTGCATTAGGAAAAAAAATTGTTTTAAACCTTTTATACCTATTAACACGATGCTACGCACAATCAGGGAATAAAAACACCTCTGACCTTTTACAAGGAGAGCTACAACGCCCAGGACCGTTGCCGCGGGTAATCCACAAGTCTTCATGCTGAAAAATGCACTCAGCATCCTCACGATCCTAGGGCAGGGTGGACCGGGACCACGGAAAACAACACCATTACAACCTAGACGTCGTGGCGGCGGGCTAGCTACTGGCGAGGACGACGGGGTGGCGGCCCCCCTCACACGCACGCGCACCGCGCACACACACACACACGTTAGTGGTCCGTTCCGCCCGCAGGCTGATAATTGTCGCACGATATGCCATCTGGTCCCGCCACAACTTGGTTAATAAATAGATCAGATCTGGGGCGGTTAGGGAGAGAGATTTGGTTTTGATTATGCTCTAAGATGTAATCAATGAATTCATGGGAAGACACATAGATTTTCTAAATATTTAGTTGGCTTACACACTTTTTTATCTGGGAATATATATTTTGCATCTGGTTATTAGAAGTAGCAGTTTAAGAAAATTAAATGGCTTTTCGACGGTTTAAAACTGTGGACTTAAGAATTGGGCTATCATTTAATGTGCCTTAAGAAACAGCCAACCTTAGTGAGCAAATATGCTATGCACAAGGCATCTTACGCCCCTACACTCATTCTTTGAGGTCAATAATCTAAGTGCATCCTAATCGATAAAAATAATAAATGTAATGTCCAGTAAATGATTACCGGATCACTGGAATGATTAAAAACTATATTTAATCAATACCGTAAGTTATTAATCGACTGTGAAGAAATTGTCCAACATCTTTGTCACGAGAAGTACATTTATGTAAATTTTAGTAATGCAACAGCTCGTTTTCGTCACCCCAGCCTATTTTTCCTGCTAAAACATTCCAATTTTGAATCAAATAATATGTATTGTGATCAACGATTTCGCTGCATGATACGAAACCTGTTTATACTTACTTAGGTTTCTAGAACTTTCATGTACTACTGATACCAGGTTATGAAAATATTTCTTTACACAATAATATTCACTAATTGCTGCCAGTAGATATCTTGATCTCAATACCTAATATTTTTTGTCTTAAATGTTAAATTGATCAATGTAAAGGGGTTTATTTGTTGATTTTGCAGCATTTACAGGGAATAAACAGTACATTTTAAAATTTACTAATATCAAATTCAACAAACTTCACTGAATTCGGCTGTACCGCTGCTTATAATATTATTATAATTAATTAACAATATTTATGAGCTTAGTAACTAGGTAAACATTTGCTTAATGCAAAACAAAAACATCACGCTTTTTACATCCTCAGTGGCTTAGAAAGTAAACAGAATTTTAACATAACAACCTCATTACAAATTGTATTCACTAATACTGTACTTTGTAAAGTTTGGACATTGTTTTATTATTTCTATTCGAAAACAAAAACACATTTTTTGTAAAATGACATTTACTACAGTTACATTACAATGTACAAAAACATTACTTTGGTTTAAAACATCATAAAGGTTTTATACGAAAATAACATACCACATCGTTTTACTTTCCGTAGCACAAACCTATTACTTTTATAAAAAATACTTTAACAAATGTCACTTAGGCCCACTTAAAAGTTAAATTTACGATGTACATTTGTTTACAATACTAACCAGTTTGAATCATTCTTTTGAAAAATCCCTCTTTTAGAATAGATAATTTTTACTTCCACATACAATATTTTTTTGACATTGCAGTCTCGGTTGTTATTGGATCTACTCATCATTACGGGCCTAGGACCTGTGCATATAACGTATCAAGAAAAACAAGGTTAGGTTAGATTAGGTCGGGTTAGGTTTGATTAACTTAGGTTTTCAAAATAATATTAATTGATTTCTACGTTCCGTGTTTGTTTTATTTTTTTACAAACTAAGTGTCGGGACATCTAAGTGCTATTTTCAAAGCCGTTCCGGTCACTGCACAAGAGAGGTCCCAGTGTACATGATGGCCCACGTAATGCACCATAGCTCCGGACATTTCCCTAGGGTGTGGATACAATGTTTTGTTCCATCATCTAATCCAGAAAATAGTTTTTTTTTTTCAAACACGGACAAAATGTCAAACTGATAATCACAAAATGTAAATCCTCTATCCTTAGGCCTAATCCTTCTGACAAATTGAAATTAATTTCAAGTTTATATAGCTTTATTTCTTAAACTAAAATTTCGTTAACGTGCAATGAGATACTATCTACCGAGTGTTGTTGGTATACAATGTTTCTTTACAAATTAAAATGGATAATAATTTAATAGTTTAAAAATAATACGATCTGCACTTTAAAATATCATCAAAAGTCCTATTCGAAAATATTCTAAGGAAAGAATTACAGTTGTAAATAATAAAGAAGGAGGTAAAATGCTTTTGGGTTAAGAAAGGTGATTCTAAGAAAGATGCTTAAAGGCTCAGAACATCGTCTATCTCCGAAACCGATTTATTTTTATAGCATTTGTAAATTCAACTTACATATTTTCTTAATGTATCAATTTTTATTGAAGTATTATTGATTTAAAAGAAATACAGTAACTACATAACAATTCATTTTGAGATTTCTTCATCATACACATTGTGTATCTTAACCATGTAACTTTTTTGTACCTAAAACTGACGTTTACAATAAAAACAAGTATGCTTAATACCTTTAACTAGGTAAAATACACTTATTAATTTCAAATTAAATTGTATTCCCATTAAAAGGGAATATGAAGAGAAAATGTTATCATATGCTTTTATTTTATACGTTAACCATAAATGTCTAAGCAGTGCTTCGTACATTACAAGCCTATGAGAAAATATTTTATGAATCTTTTACAAGAAATCGACCACTATTCGATTTCAAAAATATTGTAAAAGGTATTTAGCTCTAACAAGGGTTATAGCTGAAATTTAAATGTTATTATTTAGAAACAATTGTTTGATTTTAAATCAAAATTGCCAGGTTTGGAAACATTTAAATTAAACAATTAGTACCTGGTGATCAAGCTTTGTTCGGATTGTATTGAACATTAATTTTTTTTAGCTAAGTTATTTTGCTACGTTAAAGATATTTATTATGTACGGTAATCAATGGGAAAAAGTTTATGATAAAACAAATATATAAATACACCTTTATAAATACATAGATTGCAATAAAAACTGTCTGTATCAGCTTTTTTTATCAACTGCAGCTACAAAAAGTTATTGACGATAACATGGACTCTTTCAAGAGCTGTAGGGCGCAAACTGGATTTTTCCCAGCCTTGTGACCAACTCCAATCTGTTTCTCGTGGCCAAATATCACATAGTAAACAAAAATATGTTAAATCTTTGGACGGAATAAACGTTTGTCCGTACACGCACTTGTTTTAGAGTATAGGATAAGGTAAAATGTATAAACTTATTCAGTCGTTTTTAAGTAACTGTTTTTGTAACTCTAAAATTCAGACGATAAACGAAATGTGTAGAACGTAATTTGTACTAGGTTTCGAACAGATTAAATGTAAGTCAAATGAAAATAAATGTAATTAGCAATGTGCATAAAAGACTAGTAGGGTCATTCCGTCCACATTATTTTTTCAGATAACAATATGGCTATTTGAATCTTTAAATAATTATCATCATTATACTATTGTGATCATAGTTTTAATACATGGCCGATAAAGTTGTGTTGTTTATACAACCAATAGTTTAGTTGATTTAAAACTTACTTGAATGTAAAAATAAGGAAAAAAAAAATTTTAAATATTTAAACTATTTTTGTTTGAAGAGTATATGCAGGTGTAAAGTTTTCAGTGAGAGACAAACACAAATCGCTCTATATTCCTTGCTCATCCCTCCGATCAACCTTCATCGTTTCCAATATTTCCTTCCGTTTTCTTATTTATTTTACTTTACCATATTTGAAAGAAAAGTGTTTTTCGTGCAAAATGTAAAGCATTGGTTTTACATAAACTAATTAAACATTTCACCTTACTTTACAGCAAGGCCTAAATGTTTTAATTATTAAAACACCGGAGTGATTTAAGTCATGTTCGCTATTGGTAAAATATAAGCCTCTTGTACTGTATTTGTTTTTAAAGTGGATTAAGATCCACTCGAAAATGTAATCATATTAAATGATAATTAAAATTGTGGCAATATTAGGCCTAACACTGTGTTATAATTTAGTAACAATACCTATTTACAAATAACTACAGTGTTTAATAAGCCGATTTGTACATTAGTTTTTACGCGTAGAAAAATGTATTGATGATCTCTTATCATACTTTTTGTGATACACTGATATTTTTACTACACCAAATAAATTTATGGAATAAGAATACCTTAATTTTGATGAAATTGCAACATCATGGATGATGTTTACATACCACATTCGGGTATAAATGTTAGAATAAGAAAATTTCGAAGCAGTACATTAGAGAGGTATGATTGGTGCAGTAAAATTGGTTGTTTAAGGTAAATTTAACGGTTTAATTTTTAATTTACCAATCAATTGCCATGTTCAATTACTTAAATTTAATATCAAGTCATACATTCGATGTTGATATTAAACTACTATGCACTGTAAGTAAATTAATACTTCCATTTACAAATCCTTAAAATTTTCTCATACATCACATTCTAGCCGTGGCTATAGTTAACCTTACTTTACAACTATCACATAGCTTGCAGCTGAATCATTCAATGTTAACCTTACCACTAGAGTGAAGTTGCCTGGGGCAGTTTAAAAGATTCAATTCGCCTGCTTTTGATATAATAGCTAAGTTTACTCTCACTAATTGATAAGCCCTTCGGCAGTACAGTATTGTTGATCGAGAACTTGTTTGCTTTAGGTAATTTTAAAATCTGTATCACACGGTAGTGAAACGATACTGTAACGATAAAAAGGCTGAAAATTCTATTGTTAATATTATTTAAAGTTATTAAAGTTTTTTAGTAAAACTTTTACTTGTATATTTAAACCAATAAATGTAATTGTCAATTAAAATACCTCCGACGATTCGCAGTTCAAACTCAATTCATGGATTACAATTAAACACTATCTTAGCTGTCTATCCATTTGATCAAGTAGTCAGTGAATCTCTAAATTAATTGATAATGGCCTGTCACATAATGATTTGGTCAATGCAATATGGTTGTCTGTGACAATATGGCACAGCTACCATAATTACTGTGTTAATTAACTGTGTAAAC